GTAGGGAAAAATGACTTAATGTCCAGCCACCTGTTGAACGGTGGGTAAACACTTGTAACTATTTTTATATCTACCATGAAGCATTACATAGCAATTATTTGCGAATTTTGACTCAAGAGATCAAGCAGAAGGGGTAAAATTGTTCAGGAACGCATGGCTCAAAGGGTTAAATAACAAATCGCAGCTTGACATTGTTTCCTTTTCTTTATTAATAGTTTTGAATTGCTATGACATCTTGGGAATTATAGTGGAATTGTTCCCGATACCTTCTCCATGGTCCTGAATCCAGAGCTGTCATTCTCCTAGACTAGCTGCCATTCACGGCTAAGGAGTTCCAAGTACTCGACTACTTAACCCATAACTGGGGAAACAAGAGAAGGATTTATATCTTTTTTTATGAACATTTGCTCGAAATAAACGCAACAGAGTCGGTTAGAATTTGAATACTTCAAGCTGACTCTGTTCTTCACGCCAATAATCACTAAATTACCTGCACATGCGCATTTAAAAAAAAATTACATCTCCCTAGGCAGTCATGGGTCCTCATAGCATCTTTTTTTCTTTTTAATACCTGTAAATTGAATTTTTAGAAAATATGGTGAAATAATTTCTCGTTACATTCTCGATGGTATTGAATTCAGAATAGCCCAGGGAACCCATTTTACGATATTAGATCTACGGCTGGGAGTGATGATAATAATGAAAGTGAAAAGAATAGTGACAATAATAATGATAATATAATAATATTAAAAAGAATATTAATTGTGAAATTAATACAATCTGTTAAAGTAAATTTCACGGTGCGATTGACTTCCCCGAATGTGGTTAAATGACCAAACATAAGATTTACTTCTAAAAGTCTTCTTGTTTGGGCTGAGAACTCCTCAATGATATCTTGAAATAATAATAACAATAATAGTAAGTGTTGTGGAGTAGCTGAGTACCCCCAAAGATGGACTAGTCTAAGACCATTTAAACAACTCTCTCTCTCTCTCTCTCTCTCTCTCTCTCTCTATCTATCTATCTTACTGAGGGCGAGCGGTTAACGATTATAGTTAACACTCCTTGTCGACTCTGTGCGTCCGGGCAGAGAGGTACCCAGACGAGGCTACGCCGAAGGGCAGAGTCTCGTCTGTGGAGGTAGACACCTACCCGACACGGTGTATACGGGGTCTTTGGACAATTTTTGCCCGAGCCTACAGGCAATTACAGAGAGGAGTAACGGTTATAGTTAACTCCGCTTGTCCCACTCTCTTCTTCCGGGAAGAGAGGAACACAGACGAGGCTATGTCTACGGCCACAGTCTCGTCTGGGGAGGTAGAGAGCCGCCCGACTCCGTGTATGCGGGTTCTACGGAGAATTTTTCTCTGAGCGCGTACGCTTGGAAATCCCAAAGTTAAAAAAAAACGGCCTTGTACAACATCACGCCTTCTGGGGAAGTCTCGTGTAAATACCGAGGATTTATTGCTTCGAATCTCAGCTTTCATGCGGAGAGGAACTCAGACGAGGCTATAACTACCAGCAGAGTCTGCCCGGGGTCTACGGACAATTTTTGTCCTAGCGTACGCGCTCAGAAAGCTTAAAAACCGGCATTATGCCACATCCCGCTTTTTCTAAATACCGTCTGTGTTCTACCATATTTTACGGAATAAACAACTTCCTGTTTTCTATACGCGTGTTAAACATTCCTATTTACGACACAACAGTAAGCCAGAGCATGCAATAGAAAGCAACCAAGTCAAGATCTTATGTGAATTTAACATCAAAACAAACCGAATCCCTGATCAAACGTACCGTCGTTGAAAAAAGGAAAATAAAAGAATATGCAATAGATAGATGTGGCTCTTCCTAGTGACCATAAAACCAAGGCCAAGCAAATTGGAAACGGAAAAGCTTAAAATGTACACCGATCTCTAGATCGAAGGCGCGAGAATGTGGGATGGTTCCGGAATTTTATGATCACGGAGTATTTTTTTTAAAGTTGCACATTGAAAAATTCGAAATAAAGCCTACTATTTGATCGCTTCAGAAGTCTGCGCTGCTTGATACAGCAAATATTCTTCGAATGGTGTTGTATGTTTTGAGATCGTACGACTTGATAACTAGCAAACATAATTCAAAATCTGGTTAAAAAGGGGAAAAAAGTGACTACTGTGGAATTTCCCATTCCTAACAGACATCAAAATTGATGCTAACAGACCAGTCATATTTATAAATATTTCAAAAAAGCAACCTGAAGCAAATTGTTATGACAGTGGATGTCACTTTGTCGACCAGAGTTTCTCAACCTTTTTAAGCAATGGCACACCTAAGAGCAAATGAAAATATCACGGCACATTTAGCAAATTTTTAAAAGGGTATACATTTAAATGTTATGAAATAAAACCGCAGATTTAAAAAAAAAAAAAATAGACGTACAAATATGGACCTACTTTATTTCAATGTTTCTATTCAATTATTTGTGCAGCTTATTTAGTGTGAAACCTTTGCCATGTGTTTTTTACGATTTCTTTAATGTTTGGTCGAATGTGCAATAATCAGATTCACATTTCTTTAGTTCAGCGTATTTTCCCTCCTGTTCTCATTATGATCCTCTTGCCAACGTTGTACGGATTCCTTTTTCTTATTGGCATTATCATCGTTTCTCTCCCTTTAACTCAATGTTTCTCAACCTTTTTAAGCTACGGGACACCTAGAAGCAAATGAAAATATCACGTTACGCTTAGCAACATTTTTAAAGGGTATTTTAAATGTTATAAAATTAAACCATGAATTAGAAAAAAATACTCACACAAATATGAAATTAGTTTATTTCAATGTTTCTATTCAACTATTTGTGCAGCTTATTTAGTATAAAATCTGTGCCTGCTGAATTTGGCGATTTCTTCAATGTTTCTTTTTTATATATATGTAAGGTGGTTAAGTTTTTTCTTTTCTTTCTTTCTTTCTTTTTTTCTTTTCTTTCTTTCTTTCTTTCTTCCGTACGAGGTTTTCATTTTCCATTTTCTTTCTTTATTGACAAATATGAGACCGTTAATTTTTCTTTTTTCTTTTCTTTTCTTTTCTTTTCTTTCTTTCTTTCTTTTTTCTTTCTTTCTTTTGTTTATTCTTTCTTTCTTTCTTTCTTTCTCACGAAGCCTTCATTTTCGTTTTCTTTCTTTTTTGAAACATATGAGACCGTTAATTTTTCTTTTTTCTTTTCTTTTC